GACAAAGTTCAATCTCCTTTCTGCACACACGAAGTTTCTTCAAGCAAGGTCACTGAAGATCTATACACTGACTGGCAAGAAATATTGCCCTACCTAGAAAAGTTGTCTCATCCAAATCATTGAGAACCTGGTCAGTGAACAAGCAGGTCATAAGTTGGGGTGACAAAACTAAGAAATTTCTGTACTTTATCTTCTTATGGACCTTCTTTATTCTATCTACCTACAATTTCCTACATAGGTACAGTTAGTGCATTTCTGAATACTTTCACATATAATATTTTTATTATATTCAAGATGACAGACAAAAAATCATGTTGCTGTTAAGAGCATAATTATAAGACAGTGTCCAGGCCTTGAACTATGAATGAACTCTTTGGGGGCTGGGTCTATGGGACTATTAGCCCAGGCATGTAGCACAATGACTAGCATCTGCTGAAGAGTAACTACTAAACAGTGGGAGAAGAGGTGAGGGTGAACAGAGCGAGCCAGAATCTAGCACCTGGACCGGAATAGGACAACTTTTAGTATGATTTTATGTGTGGTTCTTATAAAACTGTCAACAATAAATTGATTATAGTGACAGATTTATGATATATTTGATAAGAATTATGTAGAGGAAATCCATTTACCTCTCCAGAAATAGCAACATTAAATAGTCTATAAAGACTTTGATTAAATCAATATTGTGCAGGAGCATACCTGTTATTTCATTTGTCCCTACCTAGTATGTCATCATCTTATTTTATCCCCTATTTACTCATAAAGTCCAATTTACCACTCTACAAGATTTCCTGATTTCTTAACTGGTTACTTAAAAGCTGTTTACATTTCACAGTGTAGCTGGTAAAGCAAATAAATATTGGAGCTCTTGAATGTCACGAACTGAGTCCCTGCCCTACAGAAGAATACAGTGTCATGGGGAAAATAGACATTAAACAGTCTGCAGCAAACAATCGCTTGATTACCAGTGTGCAAAGTACTTGGAGAGGTATGGGACAGTGTGGGAATGCTTGATGGGGAGAGTGCCAAATTACCTGCCCAACTGACTCAGCACTTGCTTGGGATACCAGAAAAAGTTAAAGGAGGGAGGGAGGGAAGGAGAGAGAGAGAATATGTATGTGAGAGAGAGACAGAGGTAGATAAGTAACTTGAATCAGAGGAAAATCTAGAAAGAAGTTATTCAGGATATGTATACATTTTGATGTATGTCATTTTTTTAAAAAGTAAACATTTGTTTTTCACTTTTATTTTGTATTTGAATTCATATTTTGGCCAGGGGTTGGGGGACAGCCAATAGAATCTTTTAGGTGCTTAGGGTTTATAAATGTCTTTAACCCAGCTCTACAAGGGGACGTAACTGTCTCTGAATGGTAACATTTAAGCTGAGACTTAAAAAATGAGAAAGAATTAGCTGAGTAAAGAGAAAGATGATATCAGAAGAGATTTCCAGACAGAGGGTACATGCAGCAGGTGAAATGGCTCAAAGGCAGCTAAGATCACAGCCTCGGTCCCATTCTATTTCCTCTCCTCTGTAGGGAGTCATTCCCAAAGGCAGACACATTCAGATCCTGTCACATGTGCACAAGGAAAGGCCTTCTTGCCATGAGAGCCATGGAGGGACATTAACCACAGGCAAGTGGGCAATCACAATAAGGATACAGAGTTCAATATAGTCCAGCTTTATTTATATGAAAAAAAAAAAAAGGAACACATACAGTGGGCCAAACTATAGGTTAAGTGCTGGGGATACCCCAAAATTTATCCTGCTCGGGGTTCCTGTAGGTCCACTGCCAGATCTCAGCTCTCTCCAACTGTGATCTTCCTCTCACCGACTCCCTGAGAAGTATGGCTGCTCCTCCTGGTTACATTCTGTTTCTGCCCCAGCATCCTATCTGCCCTACTCCAAAACCAACCCAGCCTCTGTCTTCAGTGCATCCCAGAGCCCTGCTTCTCAGCCAACCCAAGCATGGTGGAAGCAACAGGCTTCTTGCCTGTTATCCAGGAATGCCCAGAGTTTTTCTCCGCTACACCCTCACCTGCTCTCTGGTATGCCCTTGCTGCTATTACTGTGACACTCCCATGCCCTTCCTTAGTTGTAAGCTATTACTAAAACCAGATGTTCAGGATAACCCCTTGAACAAGTCATCGCTTTTTTCCGGTTTTCCCAACAGAAGTCTCTTTGAACTAATATTTCTCAATACTCACCTTCCAACCCACTCTACTTCTTGCAGCCTTAATGAACACAGTTCTTTATTTCTTTCTTTGACTCAGCTTATTTTCTTCTTGCTCATGTTTTTTCCTCCTTTCATATTCCACCTTACCTGTCTTCAGCCTTTACTCACTGTTTTCTTTTCTTCTAGTCAATCTCCTCCTCATACAAATGAATTTGTAGTTATTGTAAGGTAGGGAAAATACATATGTAATTGTGGAAGAGGTAAAGGAAATCACATAATATTCAGATTAGATTACTTAGGGTTCATTGTTATGTCACCTTAAAACTAATCTTTATGACTTGTAATAATTAATGGTTATATCTTATATTTTTCTTTATTCTTTCTGTTCAAAAATATTGAAGATGGCTTACAAAATACACACAATAAAAACAAACAAAGGAAGTGGAGTAACCAGCCAAAGATAAACTAAGAGTAGACAAAATAAAAAGTCGGGATAAAAGTATTTCACAAAATGTACACCAGAGTGTGGGCACCCACTGTAAGTAAACCTCTGAATTTTTAAACTACCAACACACAATGGAAGGAAGCAGATTCAGTTACACAATTCAAAATGCTCAGAGGATTTTAAAACAAACTAGTTGCTTAACAGACACAGGGTCATTTGTGGTAATGAATTTCTGCAGGCACTCCTTCAGACAACCGTGCAATGAGTAAGTAGTGTTCCCAGCTACACCTCCACAGTAAAAACAGTCATGGGAGTTTCTGAGGCTGCTTGTCATACTGTTATATAGGACAAGAGTCTCAAGGTCTAGACTATATACTTCCTAAATGCTATTCTTGCTAAATGTCAAAACCAGCATAGTATTTTGCAGGTCAGCTGTAAACAGGATGAGCCTGACAGAAACTCAACCTAAATATGGCCAACTAAAAAAAAGAAATCAATATGTAATTGACCAAATAGTGTATGTCAGCAATGGTGAAGGCTCCCTTTGGGGAGGCAGAGCTTTCAATATGAATCTCTTCTCCTTCACTTGCTGCAAGTAAATAAAACTACCTTACAACAACCAGGTCTTGTTCAATAGAATATCTCAAGTGTGATTCCCCTGAGTGAGGTAACACTACCATCCCTCGACTTCAGATGTTGTTAATGTGATCCTAAATGTGATCCTAAATGGTTCAGTAAAAGTAATCATAGTGTAACAGGGTGCAGCTAAGGGGGGGCAAATAGGGATTTGAAATGGAGTCCAGAACTCAAGTTGTTCAGGAAATATTAGAATGTCCTCACCGCCGCCCCCCCCCCGCCCCGCCCTGCCCTCCACAGGTGTGGGTTGGGGGAAGAGACAAATGGAGCAGGGCCATTGAGAGCTGTTTTGCATAGCAACAGCTTTGCAGCTAACCTCTGGTGTGGTCATTTAACATATCCATAACCTTTAACTGGTTGCATAGATATGTTAAATAGCTGCAGACAGGCTCTGAGCCAAGGGAATGGAAGTAACTTCCCCACCAAGATGTAACTTGGGGGGGGGGCAGGTCTCCCGAGTTACAGCACCTGCACAAGAGCTTGGAGAAGATTGGCTCCATGACATGGGGCCACACCTGCCCAGACCCATGATGGCAGCCCAGTAAAGCTGGAAGGATATGAGAGTGCTGGCAAGGGTGGCCGATTGTGGCAGAAGTGGAGGGAAAACCACGTGGCCGGGGTAGTGGGGAGAGAACCACTCAGTTTTGGCAGAGTGGAGACTCCCACAGCCATTGTGCTGAGAGGACCACGCAGCTGTGGCCAAATAGAAGAACCACATGGCTTTGCCAGAGTGGGGACCCCCACAGCTTTAGAAGGGGGAACCACCACCTGGCTTTAGCAGAGATCCTGGTGACACAGCTCATGGTGCCGGGAACCGAGGGAAGCCTACCAGCCGAGCATGGATTACTGGGAAGAACTGGGGGCTGCCTGAGTCACGGACTTCTATTTCTTTTCCTGAGATATGGTACCCCGGACTGGGCAAAGCGGGGAAGGAAGGACTGTGTGTGTGTGTTTGTGGGTATTTTAAGGGACTTTGAGATTGTGATGAAGACATTAGGTCACTACTTTAAGTTTGTACAGCATTAAATAAATATTTCCTTTCCTTTTTACGAATCTCTGGCATTAAGAGACATCTTTCCTCTGGCTGCAGACATAACGAACCTGGGGGGTTCCTTTCAGTAATAGTACATTGCCCTTGGCCCCCCACTGCTGTTCTGTAACAATAGGAAGTCCAAAAGAAGACCATGCAAAGGCAGACTTCTCATCAGTCTTCTCTAATCTAAAGATAAAATTTAGGTAGAGTACACAGTCTCCAGGAAGTCCTCCTTTTACATTGATTTTCCCAACTGTTCCATTGCGTGTTGGCAATTTCTGGCACATTTGTTTCCTTTAGTACTCAGCAGAACTGAGGATAGAATTAATGTCTTATGAAAGTTAAGGAAACAGAGGGAAACTAGGGACATATGTGTGGGCTAAGCCAAGATTTTCCTCAGAGAACAATTTTGGATCCATTCTAATACAGATAAAAGGGCAAATGCCAAAACTTGCCATTGAATACAACTGTGACGGTTAAGCCTCAAAAACCTATGAAGTAGCTGTTAGCAAATACCTGCCTATGCACTTTTTCCCATTTTTTTACTGTGTTAAAATACACATAAAATTTATTATATTAACTGTTTTTAAGTGTACATTTCAGTAGTATTAAATATACTAATATATTCGCCCTGGCTGATGTGGCTCAGTTGGTTGGAGCACTGTCCCATAAACCAAAGACTGAGGGTTGGATCCCTAATCAGGGCACATACTTAGGTTGCAGGTTTGTTCCCGTCCTGGGTTTGTACAGGAGGCAGCCCATCGATGTTTCTTTCTCATATCAATGTTTCTCTCTCTCTCCTCCTTCCCCTCTCTCTAAAAAGCAATGAAAAAAAAAATGTCCTCAGGTGTGGATTAAAACAAACCCCTCCAAAATATATATGTGTATATATATATTCATAATGTTCAACCATCACCACCATCCATTTCTATTCATCTTGTAAAACTGAAACCCTACACCGATTAAACAGTGACTCCCCACTCCCCCTCTCCTCAGACCCTGGTACCCATCATTTTATTTTCCATCTCTAAGACTAGGACTGTCTCTAAGACCTAATGCAGTTGTTTTAACCAGTAAAAAAAAAAAGTCATAAAATACAGAGTCAGCAGAAGTAACACCTGCTTGAGTGTGGTTGGGAGTGTAATAATATGGGTATAATAATTTATAGTTTTAATTTGAACATTTCGCCTAAAAAGTCATATGGAGTGCTTGAGTATGATATTGTTATGTTACAAAATTACATGCTTATGATTTTGTGATAAAATATTTTGTAATAAAAGGGGGGCATTATTTGTGCCAGACCCTGTATTTAACCTCAAGCAACAAAACTTCCTCATGACATCCATCAGATAAAGTATTACAAAACTAATGCCTCTAGATGGCTAAATAATTTGACTTATTATGTAGCAGAAGTAACCCAAAGTTGGTTGTGTTAGAGACTATTAAAAGCAGTTTCGGCTTTGCTGCAGCTGCTCTGAGGCCATAAGTCTTTCTGTCAGTAATTCAACCACAGGCTACTTGTCTGTTTAACCTCCTCCTCTCTAATGACAAGTAAAACTTAAGTCAAAAAAGTATACAAGTTCATTTTTCTGTTTTTTTACAAGAGAAGTGATAGAATGCTGTATCTAACTTGTGCAAAAAGTAGTATCAAGTTATTAAAGGGCAACTTAAAAATAAGGCCATAAGAAGGTGCAGAACTTATTTATGGTTTACATATATTCCTTGTTAAGGAAAAGACTTTTTATGAATCCTAACCCTCATTGTGTTTTTCAGTTTCAGTTCTGTATAAGCATAAATAGCCAAAAATTAAAACTGTATTCGTGTAACTTAGTCCACAACCAGTAACTGTTTGAGAAACTTTCAAGAAAAGCTTCAAAAATGTAAGGTGATAGTGTTCCTAATGAGTTTCTTTACAAGATGATAAAATACATAATTCTGGTCAGTACTAGAAAAGCTTGCCTGCAGTTTGTTGTTTTTTTGCCTCAAGTCTGGTCTGGAAATTCTGGAAGGATAATTATTCAGAAGGAAACCGCTTTTTAAGTAGAATAACGTAATCTACTAGATTTATGGTTTTGAGAAAGTGGAAATTTGCCCTTTTAAAAAACTGCAGCAGATTCTAGTGCCCCTCTGATGGCCCTATCACTATAGCAATAATTAAGGCAACAAATTGCCAAGGCTCAGTGTCCTCCAGTCAGACTAGGCCCTGAAGAGTTGTGCCCTGCGTCTGAAGAATGGTGGCCAGTGGTCTTATTGCACAGCTTAGGATCTACTGAAACCATTCAGTATGCTTTGCTTCATATCACTCTGGTATTCCTGAACTAGGTATTTCCCCCTAACTATTCAGTTATCAACATTAACTTATTAATTCATTTAACAAGTATTAATTACCTTTTAGACACTATGGGTACCATAATGAATGAGCCAGGAATCTTGACTTTTAACAAGCTCACAGTTTGTGCTATTAATGGTCCAAGATGTTGTTCTGATTAAGAAATACATCCCTCCTTGTTTTGTCTTTGTTATACCTGAGAATCTATATTACACTAAACCAAGAGATGTTCCCCCCACTCCCTGGGAATGAACACATCTCATAAGTATAACTAGCACAATTTGAGTAAAAAGAGCTGTATTTACCATTCAGTGCTGTTATGTGATGCTGGCAAACTTACTCTCAAAAGCTCTGCAATCTCACTTGGAATGCTTTAAATTTCAGTTTCCTTGTCTATTATGAGTACAACTTTTTAGAACATGCTTTATTTCTGGCTCTCTGCCAGTCCAGCACTTGTGAACTCACTGATTCACTCTAGCAATAATCTCCTATCTGACCTTTCTTCTCTATCCAATCCAGCACATAGAATGTCTATGGGATAACATTCTAATTCCATCCTGTCATTTCTCTGCTCAGGAAATTCCAGAGATTGCCCATGTTTTGTAAACTCTTGTGACTAGCCAGAAACTCTCTTCATACTATGCCTTGCCTTACTTAAGCCAACCCCATCTCTTATTGTTCCAAATTAGTAATTGTACCTCAAACACCCTGAACATTCTTCACTCTAAGTTTTTGTTCCTGCAGCTCTTCTGCTGGAAAGCACTCCCCTTCCTCCAACTTTAAGTTCAGTTTTAATTCAGCACATTTCTTCAAAATTCTCCCCAATTGCCTCAATTTTCTGAAATTAGTGACTGTTATCGGAGTATTTTTTTAGGACTTAGTTCCATACTGGCCTGGATTGTTATTTAACTGATTCCTCTCTGCAACTTCTCTTTCCAACTAGATATTCAACCCTACTCAGGGTAAAGGGACTCACGTTGAAAGTTGCGTTTGTGTCTCCTAGTTTTAGGCAGTCATTATGCATGCATTTGGTGCTCAGTACATTTAAGAATAGCTGTGGAATGAATGACTGTTGCCTCCAAATACATTTTTCTCGTTTCTTTTACAGCTGGGGGCTGCCTCAGATCTTGTGTATTCCCAAATCAATGCTTTCAAACATTTTCAACCACAACCAATGGAAAGAAATTCTTTTTATGTTGTGTACAAAACAATACATATTACTTACACTGTGCAATATATTTATTTATCCTGATTTTTATCCTATTTTTTTAAATACCCATCATGACACACTAAATTGATTTGCTCATCACTAAAGGGTTACATAGTATAAAAATAGTTCATGCTCCTTGAATTAATGAGGTACATAATATTGTTCTTGAAAAATACTTTGAACAAAACAGGGCTTTGAATTTTCATTCTGTTCCTGACAGTTTGAGTTACAATTTTTGTCTTTACAACTGTTTTGAGATCACTTCTTACCATGTTCCACCATAGCATTTAGAATCAATTCATCCCCCCACTCCTCCTTTTTGAGATTTGGGCCACAGTTAAATAATAACACACAAAGTATTCTCCAGGTTTCTATTTCTTATGTTGTCCTGACAAAATTTGGTGGCATATAAACAAACATTTTCAGGCCTAATTTTAATCAGACCACTTGCAGATGAATAAGAATAGCTATGGTCATATCTTTGTTTCTTTACATATCTTAGGAACTTGCATGAGGCTTGTTGCCAGATCATCCAGAATCTGAATCCCAGCTTTGCCATGAGCTGGTTAACCTGAGCCTGTATTACCACATCTATATGATAGGAATAATATCAACTTCAAAGGACTGAGGGGCTTAAATTAGATCATGTAAGTACATGCAGAGTTTAGTTCAGGGCCTGGAACACCATGAATGATTATCAGATGACAAGTAAGTAAATGTATCTCAAACTTCCTTTCAGTTTCATAAAGCAAGGTTCAGTCACAAAAACAAAAGAAAGATTATTTTGCTCTTTAAATATCTAGCTTAGCGATTTTCAACCTTTTTCATCTCATGGTACACATAAGCTAATTACTAAAGTTCTGCAGCACAATGAAGAAGATATTTTTTGCCAAGCTGACAAAAAAAACTGGAATAGGAATAATTTTGATTCATTTACACCAGATGGTTACTGCTGTGTTGGTTATTGTCATTTTCTATTTGACGATCTAATGGAAAAGAAGTCAGTGCCCCTGACTAAATAGGCATTGCATGTTTTAGAAATTCCTGTGGCACATTGGTTGAAAATCACTGATCTAGCTAACCTTTGGGACTGGCTTATTTATAATATAAAATTCCACTGCTAGTTTTATAGACCATAAATATCCCAAAGGAAAGGCTCTACTTTTGGTGCTAGACAACCATTATATAACAAGAAATGTCTGTTGAAATGATTATTCAGGGGTATCAAACCCACAGTCCATGGGCCACATGAATGCTATGAACGGCTATGAATGCAGCCTAACACAAAATCGTAAATTTACTTAGAACATTATGAGATTTTTTTCATTAATATTTGTGTATTTAATGTGTGGCCCAAGGCAAGTCTTCTTCTTCCCATGTGGCCCAGAGACACCAAAAGGTTGGACACCCCAATAGTCTGTTCAGAAAGTATCCAGCCATGTAATGTGAAAAAGAAACATTTATTGAAGATACAAGAAACATTGTACACAGGATGTATAGTCCCCTTCAAAGTAGCCGCCTTGTGATCTCACACAGTTGTTCCACTCACCATCAGCTCCTCTGTGGTATTTTTCTGAGTCCCATGGATGGCACTTCATTTCAGCTTTCCAAAGCAAAGCCGTGTTCCAATTGTTTTTACATTCCCCTTACCTCTGTTTATCCACCCTTATCTGATCTACGTCTTGCTACTTCTGGGTGTTTCTGATTGCAGGAGGTTGAACAGTAAACTACTTTCCCATAAAGTGTTTTTCACCCCAATCTGTTCCATTTAACACTGTAAAACACAGCATCTCGTCCATTCTCCCGGAAACACTGGACCACAGTGGACTAGGCACCGAGGAGCTGCAGTCCCTTTCAAAATTGTTTAAAGGAAGTGATCAAGAGTCCCTCAGGTCCAACTCAGTAGTTTGCTAGAGTGCTGGCGTAAAGCGCTGAGCCTAAAGCTTGAACAGAAGCGGAGACCTCCGGGGATTAACCTGCAGTCACTACTCTCGAGATTGCTGCGGATGAGTGCTGAGGGACTGGGGTGGGGGTGGTGGAACCAAAGGAAGCAAGCACAGAGGCAGAAACAAACCTGCATGCAATAGGAAGTAGAGATAGAGCAGTCAGCCCAAAGCTCCGGACTCCACAGATTTGACCCACAGACGAGACTTAATCCTACCCCTGAAAGGAGTGGAATGGGGTACAGGATAGGAACTGCGTGCGAGAATCCCCTGCCTTTCCAGGCCCCCCGCTCCACACCCCGCCGCCGCCCCCCCGCACCGCCCACACAGCTGAGCCCAGCACTAGCCGGCGACAGAACACGCCAAGTCCCCTGTTCCTCGCTGCTCCTGTCGTCACGTCCGGGGGCGGGCCGGGGCGCCGGGGGCGGGCCCAGGTTGGGCTGGGCAGGGAGGGGTGGCTTGTGGCAGTGATTTGGGTGACAACGGTCAGTGATGGAAGTAGCTGCGGCGAGGCGGCCGGTTCAGCAGTGCCGGGCGGGGGCGGCGCCCGGCTCGCGCCTGTAAGACCTCGGGGCGGCGCGGCGAGATGGGGACCCGGCGCGGGGAGTGAAGTGGCGGCGGCAGTAGCGGCGAGCGGAACTTCAGCCAGAGGGGCTCTCGCGCTTCCCCCTCTGGCTCGTCGGCCTCCACCTGCAGGTCCACGGTCCCCGCGTCCCGCGGGACCAGGACGGCGACGGCGGGGGCATGTGGCGCTGGGTCCGGCAGCAGCTGGTACGTACCTGTGCCCTGCCACCTCCCGGTCGCCCCCGCGCGGCCTCTCGAGCCCTGGTGGCGGGGAAGGAGCCGCGAGGCCGGGACGCGGGCGGCAGGCTAGGCCTCAGCGGAGGCGGGCGCGGGGCCCGGAGCCGGCGAAGCCCTGCGTGGCCCCGGCGCGCGTGTCACCTCCGAGCCCGGGCGCCGAGGCTGGCCGCGAGGGGCGGCCGCTTTCTGCCCGCGCTTCTCGGTTCCTCGCGCCTCCTTGCAGGTCCTCGGCGGCCGCTGCCAGAGCGTCGTTCCCCCTGAGCAAACCGGGCGAGCGAACGGGAAGGAAAAGAGCCTAGCGTTTCCTGTCTCTAGCAATTTGGGACACGTCTGAGTGAAGGGGAGGGGGAGGATTAGCGTGTAGGTCCCCTCTCGTCCCTGTTTGCAGTTAATGTCACGGCTCCGAGTGGCGTTGCTTATCAAGAAGGAGACTATCTTGTCTAGTCTAACTCCTCAACGGAAGAAGTGTTACCCAAGGCCTGGGTAAGGGACAGAAAATATTCCAACACCCCGTTTGGTTTCGGAAAAGATAGGTAGGATAGTTATGTCGAACTATGTGTTCCTACCTTGTCCTCACCCCACCTCAGGTGAAACTTTTGGAATGTAGACCTTACCGCCCCCCGCCCCCCGTCCCCCGCCCCCCGTCCCCCGTCCCCCTTTCTCCTGAAGGCAGTTTGAGTGAGACAGGTTTGGGACCAATGGGATACATCTGGGCCGGGGGGTGGAGGGCGGGGAGAGAAATTGAGAAGAAGGTGATTTAAGGCATATCAAAAACGCCACCTTTCTTAGAATTCAGAGAGGAAAAAAATCTTTCCTACCTCCTGGCTGCTTCAACACTAAAGCAACAGTGACAAATTAGGACAAAAATTGCTCCTGGCTGAAGAAGTCTTACCTTGTCTCTCGGTAATGAGTCTGTTTCTGGTTGCTGCTTAATTTCTAAATCCTAGTAGTTAAATGCTTCTACAATTAAGTGGTTTCATTTATTCATTCAAAAGGTAGTGAAACGAAAGCGATTTTTGTGAGACCAAAGCATTGATAATTCTCCCTGCTCTAGAACAGCATTTTAACGCTTAGACTGAGAAGTGTGTTGGTACAGAGCTAGCCTTCTGTGAAGTCATTTTGCAGTGGGTATTCTTTAAAAAAATTATAAATAAAGCTAGAACTACCTGCCACTCCTTCAAACAAATGTTGCCTTTCTATTTTTAGCTAATTGTGAATTCGTATGTTCCATATATATGTTTTGTTAGGAAACCAAGCTAATGATATCATTATAGTACCATACTGTGGTAAGACGGACTTTGTTGCAGGAAGCCATAGCTCAATAACTTGGAGTTAATTATTACAGGTCTGATCTCATTTTGATTTGCCAGTCGTCATGTATAGAAGGTTTATTTACTTAATGGTGTTTTTGTCTGGTAGGCAGATCATTTTAAAGTGGTTCTCTTAAATGCTTTTCCTAGATCAAGACACCACTTCTCAGTGTTAACTGGTTTTGCTAACCTGAATTAAATCTTGCTTGTGTAACCCACTCATCTTCAAGATAGGCAATCTGGCAGTGTTTTTTGAAAATGGCTTCAAATGAATGCAACTGAAAAGAAGGGTGGGGAGTTGTATGGTTAATTTATAAGACAACTGCCTTACTGTGTGGTTAACAAGTTGAACAAGTTGCTGTGCATAAAAAATGCTATCACTGGCATTTAGTTGCTCACCTCACTGGTTTTGTTTTTAAGTTATCAGATCTTCTAAGTATGTAATTAGACCTGTGCCAAGGTAGGACTTTGCACCTCTGATTAACTTTGTACAGTCACTTAAATTATACATTAGCGATAATGGATACACAGAGTAATGAAAGTACATTTTACTATCCCAGTCATAAGCAGCTATTCCAGTTACTCCACCAGGAATTACTCAAAGTCTAGTTTAGATTATACTTCCATTTGCTCAATGGATTGAGCCATCCATGTCTTTTAGTAAGAGGTTCATTAAAAATTTTCGATAAATGGGACAGAATTGGGAAGATTAATATGCAGATCACAGGGATAGGTTTTTGGAATTCTAAACATACTTTATTCATTATATGACTCCTGCTTTTCAACAATTTATGCTGTCATACCCTCCAAATTTATAGTCTTTTTATTACAGAAATAATTCATATGCCCTGGTAATTTCTCCCTAATTACAGAAAATGTTTGACTCCTTATCTCCACAAACTGTTTTTACTAGCTAGACTCAATGAGGAAAATCAGGGGATTGTCAGAAGGTTGATTCCCCACTCACCTCTTGGGGAAGTGGAATGGAAAGAAAAGATTAGAATATCCTTTTTTTTCTTTAGGTTTTTCTTTTTCTTTTTTGGCTCACAATGCTGAAATTCCACTAAGAAAATTTTCTTGATGTCTTTTTGGTGCAATTAGCAAATTATTCATAGTGTACCCATTTCCAGCACCATATTAGGTGTGTTAACTCAGAGATGACAGCACCTTCATTATATTAGTGGAAATGTCATTACCATATTTGCTGTTAAAATGAAAATTCTAATTAATTAAATTAAAATTCATGGGACTATTAGCTATACCATGTTGGACTGCTGAGAGTGGAACATTTTCATTATCACAGAATCTCTACTGGACAGCACTACTTTAGACTTTTAAAGGAAAGTCTTTCCCAATGCATATTTTAGTTGATACATAATATTTATAATCCAGTGTAATGCTCTTTTTAAAGCACTTCCTGTGTGCAGACATTGTAATATGCTAAATACTGAGGATATAAATGTAGGTCATTCCGTACCAAACATTGGTTGAATAAATGAATGAGTGTCAGATTTATTTCAGCATCAGTTTGGAAGTACCTGCATTTTTAGCCTTTCTGTTTGCCTTCCTCTCAAGGAATGAAGAGTAGGAAAAGGAAGCAGAGGCTTGTGATGGTGATATTATTTTGGTGTGGCTAAAAAGTTTTACCCAAAGGAGTTAACATTTAAGAACCTAGATCTTTGGGTATTTGCTGCTTTTATTTCTATGTTCAGACATATATTCTTAGACACCTAATTTTTCATTTGATTAGGGAGAGTCAAGCAGTAGAGGAATCCCAAATGTCTCAGCAGCACTGAAGTAGGGAGCTTGACCAGTTCTTTAAAGAACCTTATGACTGCCATTATTGGCATTAAATGTCCCTTCTATCCCTTTAGCCTGCTTCAGCCTGGCCAGAGTGATCTTATTAAATCACAGGTGAGATCATGGAGTTCCTGTATTTACAGCCTAAGGACTGCCTTCTTGCTCAGAATGAAAACCAAAGTCTCTGTTCGATCTGTGTACTTTCTTCCCCAAACCACTTCTCATTTCCCATCACTCTTCACTCACCTTGCTTTAGCCACACTGGCCCTCTTGTAATTCATTGGAAATGTCAGGCCTACAGTACTTAAATCTCAGGATCTTTGCCCTGGCTGTTACTTCTGTGTAGAGTGTTCTTCCTCCAGTTACCTGCTGGCTCCTTTACTCCCCTTCATGTCTGTATTCAGTTGTTACAGGTGAGACCTTTTCTGAACATTCAGTATAAAATCAAACCCTCCCCAAGACTTTCCTATCCCCCTTCCCTGCTTTTTATTTATCTTAGCACTTATAACTATTTAATATATTCTATAATTTTCTTATTTATCTCATCCCATGAAGACTGTGATTTTGGTCCATTTGTTTTAGTTCTCCATATAACAAAAGCTGTTTCTGAACTCTGCATCCACTTTTAGGTGACACTATTTCTTTCTCATTTATTTATTCATTCACTTACTCAAACATTTGCTAAGCACTTACTCTGTGATAGCATGTTGCTAGGCACTGGAATTACCAAAATGAGTTACTGTCCTAGCCAGTCATCTAGAAGTCTCTTTTTCTTTAATAATTAGATATTTGCATTGTTGTCATTTTTTCCTGTTACAAAAGTGTTGCAGTGACTGTTCTTGGTTTATGTTTATGGCTTTTTAAAATTGAAATACTTAGAAGTAGAAATGCTGGGTCATGGTGTATACACAGCTGACTGTTACTAGATATTGCCAAATTATTTTCCAAAACACGAGAGTTCCTCTTTCTCTACATCTTGGTCAACACTTTGTACTGTCAGACTTGAAAAAATTTACCAATCTGATGGGTGTAATTTATATCTCATTTTTTCTAATTTGCATCTTTCTGATTGCTAGTGAGATTCCGGTGTCCTGTATTTTGTTCCTGTGAATAGATTACCCATTTTTCTATTGGGTATTTGTCTTTCCCTTATTAGTTTCTTCTGTAGTCTAGATGTTAATTGTTGTATTTGTTGTAAATATCTTCTTCTAGTCTGTCCCTTATATTTAACTTTGTTGATAGTGTCCTTTTTGGTACAGAAATGTAAAACTTATCTGTAAGTAAATTTATTAGGCAAATGTTTCTGCTTTTTATTACTTATTTAGAAATTCCTATGCCAGGATCAGAAAGCTTTTTTTTTTTCCCGTATTTTCTGTGAATTGTCTTAAAATTTAGTTTTTCAACATTTAGGTCCTTACCATATTTGAAATGGATTTTTGTATATGGGATAAAGTAGGTAATTTATTTTCTTCAATATGAAAAGTTATTTTTCCCAGTGATGTTTTTTGAATGAGCCATCTTTCACCACTGATCTGTGTCATTTGCCTTCTCTGTCATAAACCAGCATTCTCTTTTACATATCTTGTCTTCTTTCTAGGTCCTCTGTTACTGTTTCATTCATATTTGATCTGTTGGTGCACCAATAATACACTGTCTTAATTTTAGTGTGTTTGTGATGATGTCTTTATAACTGGCTGGGTAGAACCCCTAAACCCACGCCCCCACCCCCCGTGAATTGCATTGGATCTTTACTCTTCCATATGGTATTTATAATCAATTTGTTTAATTCTGTTGCAAGTCTAGGATTTTGACTGACTTAGCATTGAATTTGTTAAGTTTCTTCTATTCACATTTTCCCCT